CTTCTTCTTTGTGTAGTCCCTGTCCCCTGACCTGATTTCCTCTGGCTGTTCAGAGGATCAGACAGCTCCCAGGGTGTCATAAACCCAGCAGGAGGGCGTGCACAGCTCCCAATTCTTCATAATGGAAACTCTGCTGATCTGATAAGCTTAAGTAGTCTGTCTTCCGCCCTGTTGTTTACTGCATCAGCAAAGGGAAGGAGCAATTAGGCTACAACAACAAAGTAAGCCTTTCGAGGTAATAGTGTGATTTAATTGAAGGATGGGAGTTTTTGGGGACAAAGGGGTACCATAAAACCCTAAGCATGGAGATAAACTGGGGCGGGAACCAAGTGTCGAGTGGGATGAGCTGTAAATCTGTTTCTTGCGGAGTACTGCAAATGTGGTGTGTGAGTATGTGTGTGTGTGTGTGTGTGTGTGTGTGTGTGTGTTTGTGTGTGTGTGTGTGTGTGTGTGTGTGTGTTTGTGTGGTTAAAGAGACGTGCTTCTAATGGATTGTAAGTAGACCAGAAAGAAAACTAAGTATCTTACATGGTCATCCTTTCTGATTGCTGCTGCAGTAAACTGTGCCATGACAGTCAGAGCGGCATGACAAGCTGCAGCTACACTCAGAGGCTGTCAGTCAGTATTAACTGCCAGCAGAACCACTGAGCCTTTCCCAGCAGCTACCACCGAACATGCTGGTGCTGACACATAACAACATCAGCTCAGTGCATCTGGCTGCCGGACAAAAGTAACTTTCCTGTTCCCATCTTTCCATCAAGGTATGATGTGAAGAGAGTTGGTCACCTATAGTGGTGCAGCGTGATCCGTATAGATCAACCCCGCCCCCACGGTTAAGCAAATTAGTGATCTGCAGATGTATCCCTGTGCAGAGTCTGAGTGAAAAGAGAGACGGTTATCTTTCACACTAGAGATGATCGCAGGCATGAAAACATGGAATCAAAGGGGAACATTTTTCATATAACACCTTCTACAACACTGGGTGGTGAAGCAAGTTAGCAAACTTGATAGCAGCTAGCAGTGGTATTAAATGGACTTGTGACTACTCAAAGCGCTTTTACACCGCAGGTCACACCTACACATTCACACACTGATGGTAGAGACTGCTGTGTGAAGTGACCATCAGTATTACATATCCCATTCAGACACATTCTGACTCAGCAGCGGCAGAAATGGGTTCAGTGTCTTGCCCAAGGACATGTGGCTGCAGGAGCTGGGGATCAAACCTCCAAACTTCTGGTTGAGAGGCAACAACTCTACCACTGATCCACAGCCGTCCAAGGCATATTAAGAGGAAGACATCCTCTGTACAAACGTTAAGACACTCCAGTCTTTGTAGAATATGTTTGACATGTTTTTTGTGTTAAAATATCAGTTTTATGACTACTTCATATCAAACGACTTTTATCGTCCCACTGTGTCTGCATCTATTTAACAAGTATCAGCTGGTTGATGCATGTGGAAACAGTCTGTTTACTGCAAAGCCTGCTTCAATCTGTATCAAGCATCAACCTCCGGTGTTGGAAAATGAATCCAGCGCAGAAGTGGAAAAAACAACTGCAATTCTTCAAGTTTCCGCTTGAGGCTGACTCCAAGAGCCCCAGAAGCCACATACACATCAATTCAATTCATCACAGCATAAATAAACATATTTACAGCCTTGTTTGAAACCGATATTGGTCTGATTATTTATTGTCATCACTGGCACACACTGTACGGGGGGTGAGTTTTCCGTTTTGATTTTATGAACTATAAGAGTTATCCATAGTTAGGCACTAGAAGGGCCTGATTGACAGGCGAGAGCGGTGCAACAGTTTGTCAAGAGACTTAAACCCCGCCTCAGCTCCAGCTCTCAGCCTGTCGTTAGGTTGACTGAAAGTTAGACTGAGACAGGATTTCCAACATGGTGACTGCTGCTGATGATCCTCCAGAGCCCCCTGCAGGAACGATGGGTGACGTCACTTCATCCATTAATATTTATAAGGTCTGGATCTGTAAAAATATCCATTATACACAAACACTGCTTTCAGTGCTGTGTTTGGTCCAAAAAAACTGACGCCATAAATCGTAAACAAACCCTCCCCGTTTGTTTCTTTGTCTAACAACACACACTGTGGCCAGCTCAAAGACACACACACATCAGCTACATCAACATGTGGTACATGTTCATCAATGTCGAAGCTCATATGAAAAAAGTTTACTTGTTTTCACTTCTACTGATTTGTGTTTGTAATCTTGACGTACTTCATTAGGGTTGACAGATACTGTTACTGAAATTATGTAACTTTTTATAGTACAGCTTGCTGTACTCAGATTTTTGTAAAGCATGTTTAAATTAAAACAGGAGATAATTTTTATCTGACTGATGGTTTTAATTATTGGCTGTGTGATACATTATAGAGATGCATCATGATGCAGTGTGATTGGTTGCGCCCTTAAAATGCACAGTTACGCTCATTGCTGGCTGGTAGCAACCTTGTCTAATGTTTATCTTTTCTTTTTCTGATCCAAATAAAATAATCTCCCGAAAACAAAGCACTTTGTTCCACTTCAGTCACAGCTCACCGTGGCATTGTCCGCCTTTTATGGAGTTCAAACTATATCCTAAGTCAAGTATGCTTGTGTTAAACTGATAGGAAACATGCCTTGTTACACAAAAAAACGACTTCACACTTTACGGTTACCTCAAATGAGAACAGACATTTCACAACTTCCAGTAAGTTAGCAGTCTTGTGGACAAAAATGCTTATTCACTGCCAGGGTTCAGATATTTACCACATGCTTGGTCCAAACAAATTAATAAAGACTGGAGTGAAGTCACTCATACATTCCTCGTGGCTCTCTGCGTTTTTCTGGACCTATTTCCCATGGTCAAGAGCAGGAAATCTATCCATCATGTCTATTATTGGTCTTAGTCGAATAATAAAGACAGCTTTGTTAGTATGTAAACTTCTGCTACCTATTATGTCCATCCTCTTTCAGTGAGGTCACAACTAGCAAGGAGTAATCAGGATAATGGTCTTAACCACCTCTCATTGGTGGGTTAAAACAAAATAGTTGAGTGTCATGACCCTGATGAAGGCCACAAGCTGAGACATCTCTGTCTAATAAAGTTAAAGGTCACATATTCTCCTCCTTTTCAACCAGTTTGAATAAGTTTCAGAGCTCCCCAAAACATGTGTGTGAAGTCTCGTGTTCTAAATCCACTCTGATCCTGTATTTGATCATGTCTATAAACCCCTCTATTTCAGCCCTGCTCAGAACAGGCTGTTTCTGTGTCTGTAGCTTCAAATATGTAAATGAGCTGTGCCTGACCACGCCCCCTCTCTCATGCCAAATGGAGCAACAAGAAATTCAGCCAGTTTAACAGATGACTGGAGCAGATCCTGAAGTATGTACTAATTAAAAAATAGACTTTGAATCCCGAATCGTTTTGAATCGAAAATTGATTCTTAATCGAAGCGTGACCCCATGAGTAGAAATCGAAATAGAATTGAATCGTGAGACACCCAAAGATTCCCAGCCCTACACTCAAGTATACATACCACAGAGACTGACTTTCTTGGATGCTCATTTGAGTCTTGGACACATTCATCTTAGATGCCCATTAATATGGTTGAATATCTTTTTTTAAGACAAAGAAAGGAATACATCAGAAAAATATAGAGCCCGACCGCTTAATCGGCCAGCCGATAATATCGGCCGATATTAGCATATCCAGTGAGTATCGGTATCAGCAAATGTGATCGCAGATATCCTCCGATATTACTAGACCTATTCACCAGTCAAATAGCATTAACACGTTTTATTGTATTAAACTAGCAGTTCTCTTTTAACAAACAGAGGGCGCTATATGGATTACAACAAGTATTATCACTCAACACTCATTATATCTTTTTCACAAGTGTGTGATAACTACATTTAAAGGATCAACACAATAAATGTGTGTCTCTATATCAATCAATCTCTACAGATCGAACATAGATCTAAGAAAGATATCAGTTTGTGATTATGTCTCTTCCCAATATCGATATAGGTATCGGCCCCAAAACGTCCACATCGGTCGGGCCCTAGAAAAAAGTAATGTGCATGTACAGGTGTGAGTGTACTTTGGTTGACTTGTGTATTAAAATCAGACTCGAGAACGGTCCTGTGCGCACTCGTTGTCTGACTGGTGAATCATTCATTTTTTAATATTGATCCATGTTTCTCCTTATTTGTCTCCTCCGCCTCTTCTTTTCTTTTTCCACTAAAAGACGAAGGGCTGACAACGCCAGCACCATTTTCAACTTTTCATCAGACATTATTCTCGATTATAAGTACCTATAATACGAGTGGTGACCGACAGCGGTGTGAAATGGTCTTCTCCTATCATAACAACAGACTACCTCCGCCTGCTGGGTTATTTCCTCTCACGCATGCGCAGAATGTACGTGGTGGTTGGCCATAGTCGGATGTAGTCTTTGCGGTGTGTTCAAGTACAACTTTTTGGCCAAGAAGTGAGGCGACGCCACAGTTGGTCTTTGTCGCCGCTATTTTATTGCCATCTGCTTGGTGTGTCAGGGCCTTTAGTCTTTACTATTGATTATATCTTGACATCAATCATTTAAAAAAATCTAAACAGACATTATTAGATAATAAGTGACTACACACATACACACACACACACACACACACACACACACACACACACACACACAGTCCACCCAGACAGCAGAACAATTAACTTCTAAGAGCACCTTTGAAACCCCTTCATTAGTCACTGAACATCAGAGTCCTCCATGGTTCATCTGACCAAAATTAAATCCACTCCAATGAGCTTCATTGATCGACATCAAATGTTTCTGGTGTGAAGCAACTTTTAGGTCGGAAGAAATAATTGATGCAATGCCATCATAGTTCTCCTCTGATTTCATGGAGCACTGTGACAGATGTCAAGGCGTAAATGGAGTGAAGTGTGTGTGTTTCGTTGGCACAAAGATGTTGTGGCGGATGCTTACCGAACTCGCTGGCACACATGTGCTCCAGCATGGCATCTGTTTTCATTTCATTGTCACATGGTGGGCAGATGGGAGAGTAACCTGGAGGAAAAAGAAGGGATAAAAAGATGTTGGAAAATGGGCGAAAATACAGAATGCAAGTTGCAGAGACACTCAGCATTGAATCAACATCACGGCCTTCTTCACATTGGAAGTATTCGTGTTGAGGATGTGGTTAAAAGAATGAAGAGAACGATAACCTCACAGTGAAAGTAAATTATTTCTGAACAAACAAAACCCCCTTATTTAGCAGGACAATCTTGCCACACTTTGAACCTCTCTGTGTGTATGCAGACATCAGTTGTGTGTGTGGTGTCAGATGCCTGGTCTCTTGTGCTTCGTACGCTCTGATGACCTGACCCCGGTGAGGAATGTCTTCAGCTTTTATGGCCAGCTGTAACTAAGAGCTGCAGTAAACATGCTTCCTCATTCTCTGTTACAATCGAACACTTGTATCAAAATGTCTCTTTCTGGCACGTGGTGTATACAATAAAGACATGTAGAAGAAAAAAAATGGTCAGTCCCTGTTTCAAGGAATGCTCTGACGAAAAAAAAAAAAAAAAAGGTAATAACTGCTGGCTCGGGAATAAAACCACACTGGAAACAAAGAGCCAAAATATGTTTTCCACAACGACTAATGCAGCCTAGAGATGCATCTGCATATTTTACCAACAGCATTTCTCAATTTTGTTCTCCTAATACTGCAAATGATTTCTTAATGCCAAACAGCTGAGTCACAACATGCCGCAGCATTCATTTCAGACCGACTGCTCTTCAGTTTTACAGCGTGGCTTGTGGATGGAGTGAGCACAGGGTCGAAAAAGCAGGGAAAACAAATAGCTGTCTGCCCCGTTACCAGTTGTCAATTACATGTGTTTAGGGAGAGCTTGTGAAAGTTTCACCTAGGTGTAAAGAGCTTGTGAAAACAGACACTGTTTACAGAGTCTCTATACGTCCCCCTTCCCCTATTAATGCCAGGCGCTCCTCTCAAAAACGGACCATCAGCATGTATTTGGCGGTGGGGGTGAGAATTGTTGACCTCGATTAACAATTGTTTAGAATAAGAGCTGAGTAGATTAGGCTGCTTTGTTCGACTTTTTTTTTTAAAGCTCCAGATCAGTTGAAACATTTTCCTAGAGATTTTTTTGTTTCCTGAAGGTTCATTTTTGGGCTTTTGATTTAGAGGGGGGGAGAGTGGATAGAGTCAGAAAGCAGGGAGAGAGAGAGTTGGGGGTGACATGTAAGAAAGGAGCGACAGATCGGATTCAAACCCAGCCGCCGCTGGAAGGACCACAGCCTAAATGCTTGGGAAGCGCACTGACCACTGGGCTACTAGCGCACCCTTCCCAGAGATTATTGAAAATGAAATTCCTTTCGCCAGGGGGCTCTCAATCGAAACAATAACAAAAGATGACGTTGAGGCTGGCGGGGAATCATGGGACTGATTCTCTCTGCTACTCCCCCTCAACCCCTGATTAAAACAACCTCCATGTTGACCGCAGTCAAGACGACCGGGCGAAACCGACCTGAGAAAGAGAACAAGTTTACCGACGATGTATCCGAGTATTATTCACATAACTTTTTTTTATCACAGCAGCACATACAGCAACAGCACCATGGCAACTCTAAACATGTTGTGTCTGTCATGGCGGCCACTGTGACAAGACACGTCCCGTTACAACTATAAAATTACAGACTTCTCTGGCTTTCATAAGTGTTGGAAATATTTGAGGTAATGTAAGTACTCAACAAAAACAAATATATAACAGGTTTAGTCCATTTTGAATTAATTTAGATATTTTAGTTCAAAACCTTTTGGCATAATTTATCTCTGATATAGAGTTCTCTAACTTTAGAGCATGAAATTCAGTCCTGCAAAATGAACAAGTGCTGACAGCGAAATATAACAAGAGATGTCTGAAAACCAGAAGACGGGAATGTTTTTCAGAACGACGGGCTTCTGTCCACACCGCCGTCAGTGACACCCACTCCGTCTACACACACGTACTAGACAGACGTGGGACGAGTTCCCTGTTCAGACGCAATGAGCACCGAGTTATTGCTTAAAGATCCACAGTCCTTTCTTCTCCAGCCAAAAATCTTCAATCGGTGTCTTTTCAGTTGGACATGAATATATAGGGAAGTCGATGATGGGACGGTGGACTTTCCTCTCCACTTTGTGGTTTGAGTGAGTTGGATGCTTTCACTCAACCAAGGCAAATCATAGGATAATGACATGAAGCCTAAACTATTCAGAATCAGCTTTATCTTCACCAGATTACTAGGTTTGGACTTCTCAGGGTTTCTCTGGTGTTGGTGAGCTCAGCCAATAAGGTTCATGCTTAAAGGCCATTATTGGACAATGTAACACCCAACGACACAGCATTAAACCAATTTTTTTTTACTTCTGCCTGGAACCCAGCCTCGAGGTTGCAGAGTCCAACATGCAATGCTCCAGAATAAAAAAAACAAAAACGTAATATTGTGCAGACTCAGACCACATCGTTATGATTGGTCTGCTTATCAGCATCACATCGTAAATGCAGAAGTTGTCATAATTAAAGCTGCTCGGGCCAAATGGCTTCAACTGGAAGCTATTACTGAGTTAGTGATTGCCATTTTAAGTTTCTACAGACATGTTGCATCACTTTCTTCATAATTTTTATGAAAATGGTTTCAACTGCAGTCTTTTACTGGATCTTTTCAGATGGCTTTTTGCTTCCCCAAAAGTGCCGCAACAATTGTTAAGTTTTCTTCAGATATGTTGCTTAATGTTTGTATTATTTGTTATTAAATGTAACTTTTTTATGACTTGTTACCTACAAATAGGCCTGGGCGATATGACCTCAAATCAATGTCACGATTAATTAAACATTTGACCTCGATTACGATTAATGACCGATTATTTTGTTTTTGTTTTTTGCCCTCATAGTTCACTGACGAGGTCTCTACTGTAAATATGCTCAACTATCAAAGCTGGCCTATGTTTTGTAATGAAAGAGTTCATATCTGATTAACTATTTTGTGGTTATTTATTGGATATTTCGAACTGAAATCAAAGCATTGCTTGAATTGAAAACGACACATTTTAGTTTTAAAGTAGAAATCAACTTCTCTAAAACAGTAGAAAATAAATAACTTGCATTTCTTGTTAACAATTTTTTTCCACAGTGTTCACATTTAACTTATTTTTGTTCGGTGTCGTCTTCCCTAAAGACAAAATGTGTCCAAACGATGGACAATGCTTCCATGTCGTCAAGTGACTCTACCCTGAAAATAATCGAAATAATCGACACGGGCAAGATTATGTCAGTCAGAGGTTCAGAATGTCGATTTTGATAAATTTTCGATTAATTTCCCAGCCCTACCTCCAGCTCTATACACTTGGTTTCATTTGCATACAGTTGCACACAAAAGAGATAAAAGGCTAAATATAAAGGCACTGAAACGTATTCCCAGACAATGTTGTGGTGAAGTTATGCTGAGCCAAGCAGACCCAAAGTGTGCAAATGTGTCAGGCTCGCAAAGGGAAACGTGCTGCTCCCAAGCTCTATTCTACACAAAAGTCGGACCGATTAGCGTTTTGTTTTTATTCAAATTCTGTCTTCACACCGTTACCATCACCGGTGAAATAGCTACAAGTCTGTGAGAAAGGAGGATGTGGTAAAATTTGGCCAAGCAGGTATTTACTTTTCTCACTGCTGGACTTCCTCTAAGCATCGTCCCCCAATTCAACAAAAACCTGTAAGTAATAAGTGGCTCGACCTTTTTAAAAATAACCTTAAGCCAAGTCAGCAGCTAGCGGTATCACACTCTCTTTAAACATTACACATTTTAAAGTAAAACAAACGACTGTACTACTGTATTACTTTAAGAGCCCGGGAGGATGGGGGTGACGTGGTTATATTGGGATCAGAGCTCATTTCTACCAAAAGGTTGTCTTTGTTTGTGTTTGAATTTGCATCTGCAACAACATTCCCAAGCCCCTCTCACTGAGGGGCTTGGGTGTCCACTTTGACACCGTGACAAAAGCCGGGGCTGTTTGTTTTCTCAGTCAAGTAGCCAATTATCAGTTACATTAAGAGAGTCCTTATGGTTGCTTTGACAACAACCAACAGAGAAGTTAAGATAACATTCAGTCAAATAACAGATTCATCATTGAAGTCATTCAAAGATTAAAGTGACATTAAAGGTGCACTATGTAGTTTAGGTAGAGAAATGTGAAAGTTAGAGAAATGTACAGATTATGTGTTATATGTTCATAACTCTAAACACAAACTGTCTTCAGAGGAAAATTTGGTCCCTGTAACACTGTTTGAAGATAAAATGATACGTGAGAAGTTATTGTGGTGGGCCCGCAACAGTGAAATTGTAACTCTCCTGGTAGCTTTTCAGCTCCAAACAGTGTTCAGGGACACATTTTTCCCTTTGAGTAAAGTTTGTGTATTCAGTTCAGAAAATATAACAAAGAATTGTTTCACTTCTCCAATTTTCAAATTTCACTACTAAATCTACATAGTGCATCTTTAATTGCAGTTTTCACCTTTAAAATGATCAAATTAGTTTTTTTTAGACAGTTCTTATCATTGGATTTTGGTATGCAAGGAGGGATATACTTGATCTCAGGGCCTGGCGGGATGTTTCTACAATGAAAGACACTGAGTTCACCTTTTCCATTTGTCTTGGATTAGGGGGTCATGCTATGTGATGATTTAAAAAAGTGATTGTTCTCTTGATGATTAGCTTTTGTGCTAAATTTGGCAGATTTACATGGATGCTATTTGCTGATATGTTGATTCATGAAATGATACTTAATACATAAACCCTTTAGTGTCTATTTTCAGGACACTTTGAACTCCAAGCTGTTCTACGTGCTTTAAATATTAGAAATATGCAGTGGTGTAATGTAGGGTATACGCAGGTATACAGGTTATACCCACTTCTAAATCTCCTCTGATTTACATCATTGTTTGATTGACCATATTCAGTAGTATGCTCGTTTTTTTTCCCCTGATGGTGAAGGGATGACTCTCCCTACTCTGTCTCTGATTGGCTCGAACACACAAACTTAATATGTAGGAGTAGTCTTACATGACATGACAATTTATAAAAGAGGCTGTTTATCCTCTGCTAATTAAAAAAAACATTTTGGGGAAAAATTAAGAGTATAACCCACTTTGTTAGGCACCACTACACCACTGGAAATATGCGAGGAACAAATATAACTTAACAGATAAAGGAGATGTGTTTGCTTCATCATAAACTAGCTGTTTTTGCAAAGTGGTGATAAAGTCTACCGCTGTTCATGTACAGGCCTCAAGGTAAATCAGTGCATTGATTCAAGTTTGGATTGACAGCTGAATAATGAAGACTCTGGAAAAGATTTATGAATTGCAGAAACGCTTGCATCTTGGGGGATATCACCACTTGTTTAAGTACAGGACAGAGAATATGACGATGACCCCTCTCCATAAAACTCACTGAAGTCCATCTCACTGCTCAGTGACCAGGACGAACACTTTATCCCATATTTCATATTTACGCAAAGCACTCTAACAATTTCAGCAAAATCAACTTCCCTGTTTACATTTATATTCCGGGATTAAAGAGTAATGATAAATAAACAAACAAACAAACTCGTATAGTGTGGATTACCTGTCGGCTGGGTGGCCTCGGTGGCGTTAGGCTGCGGCATGGCGATGCACACATCATCTTGGGGAAACTTGTCGCAGGTGAGCATCTCCGGCCAGGGGAAGCCAAACGACTCCATGATGGGGGTGCAGCCGTCCCGCACGGCCTCGCACAGCCAGCGGCACGGATAGATGGGCCTCTCCAGGCACACGGGCGCAAACAGCGAGCAGAGGAAGACCTGCGTGCCTGGGTGGCAGTTCTTGTGCACCAGTGGCACCCAGCTGCTGGCCTGCTGCTTCACCTCGGCCATGGTTTCGTGCTCCAATAGGTTGGGCAACAGCATCTGGTTATAGCCTACGTTGTGACAGAGCCGCAAGTCCTCCGGGATGTCAACGCACTGGGGAGGCTTGCCGTAGCTTCGTCCGCCGTTGTACATGTCCGACTTCCAGCTGAGGTACTCGTACTCTGACGCACTACACGACGATATGAGCGCCACTGTCACCGCCAGACGGATCATTCTCAACAGCGACACAGGAGCAGAAGTCATGCTTTCTTTTTGGCCACAGCACAATAAAAGCAGTTCGGTACGGCTCGGTACGGCTCGCACGCACGGATGATTCGAGCGTCACTTCAACTACAAACTCAAAGTTATTACAGTAAACAAATACGAAACAAAGCCGCACTGTGCAGATCGATCTTCTTGCTTGGGTGAACTCGTAGCTTTCAGCCCCTCCGAGCACCTCTGTTGCGTGTTATACTCTCGGCCAGTGTTTGCGGAGGAAAAGCGCTCTGCCTGCGCTCAGCTTAGAAACAAGAGGAGATTGTAAAGTTCGCTCTGGCCAATCGGAATTCGTCTGCGCCTTTTGGCACTCTGCTGTCAGTCAAAGAGCTTAATTATCCAGTGTGTAAAACGCTCCGGGAGCCTCCCCACTCACCGCCCCCCCCCCCCCTTCACTCTGCTGCTGCTGCCTTGCTGGTACAAACTTTATTTAGAAAAAAAAAAGTCCTGCCATGCCAAATAGTAGCACGATCGAATTATATGCTGGTAGGCGACGTATATTGGAGTTGTGCAGTGTAAAGAGGTTTGACTGAGAAGAATTTGGCATGCATCCAGTCATGCGGCGCAGAGAACAACATGCTTTCCTCTTTGTAATGACGGAGGTTTCCCGATAAAGTGAAAGATCCGAACTGATTCAATAGAACATTTACCAGAAATATCCACAGAAAAGAATTCACATGTGTGGTGGTCCTTGCTTTTCCCCCCAAAGTGCATCCATTCAACTGAAAACAAATATCCGGTCATGTTTAGAAAGGCAGATAGTCATCAAACAACACACACTTCTATTTTGGAGCTGTTTTCAGGATCCTTCTAGCCAATCGGAAGGGACATTTTCTACCACTGCACTTATATTTTAACCCATGTTTAAGGCTGGCATCGTGAATATAGAGACAACAATTATTGTATTTCTTTAAATTGAATGGAATAAAAAAGGGAGAAATTTGGAAAATCATCTTTATTCTGCAGCTTGCATCATATTTGCTCAATCGTATTCATAAAAGAGAATTTGAGGGCTCTCAATAGAAAGTCAAGAAATGCAAATGGTCCCATGTTTTATTCATTTTCAGTTTATGTGTGTAATTAAAGAATAACCGATGCAATGGGACTTCTGGCCATGGCTTTAATTTGCAGTCCTTGTCCCTGAGGTTAGGCTTTTAGAAAATAACACATGATAGGCTTCAGCAACACAGTAAAATAGACTAAAAGTGACAAAGTTTGTTTGCAGAAAGTCAGTCTGCTTTCTTTTCATTCCTTGATGAGTTTCAGGGAAACTCAGTGAGTCCCTAAGGATGTTGAAATACGTTTGCCAAAGACCCTTTGTGGTACAGTTCTGCAGAGCTGAGTTTATTTATATTAAACAATTCCATTTCCGATGGTCCTATTTTGAGATTGTCTTACCAAGCGGTGGTTTCTTATCTCAGCCTGCTAGAAATGCAAACACTCAGTAAATGATATGTATCCAACCTAATTAGACTCTGCCAGTTTAAGTAAATTTGCTGAGCCCAATTGTCCATCTCCTCATGCAGGCCTTCCTTACACTGAGATAAAAACCTGAGGTGTGAAACCCCTCTATTCAAATGTGGCCCCATTTGCATTCCATTGTTTTGCTAACAGATCTCAGCAAAGACAAAGCACTTAATTTGATTTTAAGCAGTATACACAAGCCTTTCAGATAAAGAGCCGTTGTTACCCGCCCCCCACCCCCCCCAAAAAGAAAAAATGCTAACAAAATATTCCACTTTTTATTGGTTTGTATAAAGGAGGGGTGATGGTCGTATAGTGTTTAGGGTCTATGCTTTACAGACAGTTATGTTTGTTTTTTTTAGTTTTTTTTTAACACAAGGCAATGTACAAAACCAGAAAGGAAAAAACATGACAGATATTTATACTGGATTGATCAAGAGACCGATGGTGGAATGACAAGAAACACATTCAAATATAAGGAGAGGACAAAGATTGTGTCCTATATCGCACACTCATTCCATACTCACTTTTTAAAACAACAGTTCTAAATGGTAAATGGACTTGAGCTTGTATATTTCTTTTCCAGTCTCCTGACTTCTCAAAGTGCTTTTACAACGAAGGTCACACCTATTCACACACTGATGGCAGAGGCTGCTGAGTAAAGTTTCCATCAGTACTTATACACATTCATGTGTATAAGTAGAGCAACTTGGGGTTAAGTGTCTTGCCCAAGGACACATCGGACATGTCGCTGCAGGAGCCGGGGATCGACCTTCTGGTTGAGAGACGGCAGACTCTGCCACTAATCCACAGCCGCTGTATTGGACTAAATAGTGAATAGTGATGGATTTCAGACACAGCCAATGTTGATTGAATTTAGTAGTGGACACACAAAGTTAATCAAGTAAAAACAGGAAACTGAGAATGTATAAAAACGTCCATAAAGCCATCATCAAAACCAGAATAAAAACCCATGTTCAGTAATCAGGGTCATCATTAGAGTTCAGAAGCTTGATGGCCTGAGTTATAAAATACATTTTTCAACCTATTGGACTTGGCTTTTGGTAATCTGTATTAGGGCTGACCGATATGAGATTTTTGGGGCCGATACCGACATCGATAGTGGTGACATAAATGTGCAGATATCTTCTATGTTTGATCTGTAGAGCTAGATATGGATATACACATTTCTTGCATTGATCCCTAAAATGCAGTTATCACACACTTGTGGAAAGATAAATAATGAAGAACAGATGTTCACTCAACTGGAAAGTAACTGCTCATGTACATGCATCACCACTTAACACTCTGGAGAGTGATAATACTTGTTGTAGTCCATATAGCGCCCTCTGCTGGTGAAAGAGAACTGCTAGTGTAATACAATGAAACTCAAATTAAATGCTATTTGACTGGAGAATAGATCGAGTTATATCGGTGCATATCTGAGATAAAATTAGCCGATACAATAGTCACTGGATGTGCTAATATCGGCCGATATTATCAGCTGGCCAATAAATCGGTCGAGTTCTAATCTGTATCTCCTGCCTACTCCTCATCACATCCTGTATTCTTCTATCACCACCACCATCAGGGTCTAGACTCCATGGGGGGTGGTATCACCACCACCACCAAGGTCTAGACTCCATAGAGGGGTATCACCACCACCACCAAGGTCTAGACTCCATAGGGGGATATCACCACCACCACCACCAAGGTCTAGACTCCATAGGGGGATATCACCACCACCACCACCACCACCACCAAGGTCTAGACTCCATAGAGGGGTATCACCACCACCACCAGGGACTAGACTCCAAAGGGGGTTTATAACCACTACCACCAGGGTCTAGAATCCATAGAGGGGTATCACCACCACCACCAAGGTCTAAACCCAAATAGGGGGGTATCACCACCAAGGTCTAGACTCTATAGGGGGGTATCACCACCACCACTAGGGACTAGACTCCATAGGGGGGTATCACCACCACCACCAAGGACTAGACTCCATAGGGGGGTATCACCACCACCACCAGGGTCTAGACTCCAGAGAGGGGTATCACCACCAGGGTCTAGACTCCATGGGGGGGTATCCTATCCTGCTGTCAGTCTCACTACCCCTCTGAGTACATGAAGTCGTCATGATAGAGTTTAATCCCCAATCAATTTGCACATTTATTTTCTAAATTGTTAAATAAATAATTCTTCATTAAGTTTCTTCTGTTTGAACTGGGCTCAGCAAATTTTCTTAAACTTGCAGAGTTTAATGAGGTTGGATAAATATCATTTACATCGTGTTTGCATTTCTAGCAGGCTGAGATAAGGCCACGACACACCAAGGAGATGGATGGCCGTCGGTCCTTGTTGTTGTAGTTTTAGCGATGTGTTTGGCACTGTCGCTACCCGTTGACCTTTTTATGGCCGATTCGACATGTTGAATCAGCGTTGGCGATTGGTGAGGGGGATCTCTCTGATTGACTGTTGGGAGGTTTCATTTAGCTCTCGACACAGGTTCAGGAAAGCCCCTTGAGCATGCAATGTGTACATATGATAGACTCTATGTTATCAATCTTTAAGGACAACCAGCTGTGGACATCAGCTCAAAAATATTTTACTGTACGAACGATCAGAAAAATACATGCTCCATAGTTTCCACCTCCGAAGAGCAAAAGATAAAACACAGGGATCCACTTCATCCATTCAACTCTGCCAAGCACTGGCCTCAACAACTCTACCGCTCAGATGTCAAACTGCCATGCAGAGGATCAGCCGATTCTAAACCACTGCAAAAAATCAATCACCAACTGGGTCGATTGCACGTGCAATTTTAAAATGTGTTTCCCAGAAAGGTTTGTGTGCTGAAGCATTTGTGCATTCTGCTCTTCTGTTTGTTCTCTTTGCTCTGATACTGTGAATATATCCAATCACATGAACCGATACAAAGGTAAATACAGTAGCCATAACATCACATTTGTCCAAAAGCCTTTCTTGATGTAAATGCAACATAAATGATGCTGTGCAGCTGTAGGTCTATTCACATTTCTCCAGTGTTTTTAAATCGTAGGTCACAGGTTTGGTTAAATTGTACATAGGTTTTCAATTCTTACTCCTGAACAGGTTATTCAGGTGTTGTTAGATGTAACAAATGTAGAAAAAGTTCTGAGTCCGCATACCAGAAGCTGCTCCAATTCAATTGAATTTAATGGAATATCACTTTTAACGTTTCGGGCCCTCGCCCTTCATCAGACACGAGATGAAGCACCCAGAACTTGCCTTTTTGACATTTTTAGATGTAACAAATGTATCATGTCATGTGTGTCTAAGCTGCTAAAATTCTACAATTCACTTAGCAGACGCTTTTATCCAAGATGACGTACATCAGAGAGTAAGTACAACACTAATCCATTCATACACCATCACCAAAAGCAATTAAGGGTTAAGTGTCTTGCCCAAGGACACATCCGACATGTTGCTCAGCTGGGGATCGAACCCTTGACCGTCCAGTTGAGAGGTGGTGATTCTACCAACTGAGCCACATCCGCCCCACTACTGGAGGCTTTGAATTTCCCTCTGGATGCTTAAAATATCTGCCTGTCTTTCCGTCCATCCATCCGTCCATCCGTCCATCCGTCCATCCGTCCATCCATCCCTCTCGGTCACACATGTTGTGAATATAACACTGACATATTACCTTTTCAGTTTATATGCTAAACTTTTAGTAAAACGGATTGCTTGCAACATTAACTTTTATTAGAATCTGGTTTTCTGTTTCTGATTAATAACATTTTAACTCTGTCGTAAATCAGTATCTGGGTTTGAACCTACTCCTAGAGGGATCTCATGCTTCTTAACCGCTGTTTTCTCAATTATGTTAACAAGCTCGTTTATAT